AATAGAATTAAATAAAATAATCATAAATAAAATAAAACAAAAACAAAAAATAATATAAAATAAGAAATAAAAAATAAAATAAATTAAATCTAAATAAAATAAAATGAATAAAAATAAAATAATAAAAAACAATAATAAAAAATTTAATTCAGTAAAATAAAAAATTTAAAATATAAAAAATAACCTATTAAATAAAATATAACTAATAAACTTAATATAGATATAATGAAATAAAATAAAACAACCTTAAAATAAAATAAAATAAATAAAAAATAAAATAAAACGGAATACAGTAAAAAAAATTAAATTAGAAAAAACATAAAAAATAGAAATAAAATAAATAAACATTAAATTTTATGAAACAAAATAAGAAAAAAATTTAAATTAAATACATAAATAATTAAAAAAAAGAAAGAAAACAAATAAAATTAAATTAAAGAAATAAATATCAAAGGCTATATAATATACTAAATTTTAAAGTTATTATTCACGGTTACTGTTGCCAACCCTCTTTTCATGATCGTTAAAGTATATTCAATTTAAAGTATTTAAAACAATAAAATTTTTATTTCATAGCTCATACTTTCATAACTGAATTATAGTGCAAAATAATTTAACAAATTCGGTGAACTTTAATTAGAAAATAGCCAAATCAAATTTGATGTTATTTAAAAGTTGTGATTATCAAAAATATAAATATGATTGGAAGAATTTTGTTCAGAAAACAAATACCTATTTTTTATGAAAAACCTTAAACTAAGAAAAAATTAAGCCTTCAGATGTAATCATTACTTTTGAGCGAAAATATATAAATAAATAAATTTGATCGGAAACCTGTAACTTAGGTTTTAATAATTATTATCTGAACGCTTATTAAAAAATTCAATTTTTGAAATTTTGATTTTTATAAAAACGTTGGTCACACTTTCCGAAATCATCGCAGAAATGCAAGGACTCCCGGAGAAGTCAGTGATTTTCTTTTATTAGAAAATACATAATTAAAAATATTGATTATATTCGATACCTAATTTCATAAAGAATAGTTAATGAATATTTCTAGCTTCGGAATGCCTACTATGATTACAAAAAAAAAATTTATAAAGAAAAATTTGTTTAAAAATATAAAAAAATTTACAACTTTATATTGATACCCAAAAGCTCAAAATTTATTCCATTTTAGAACAACCGAGTTACATTTTTTTGTTTTTAAACTCATAAGCAAAGCGAAAGATCAGTATTCTTATATATTTCCTTACTCAATCAGTAACGGTCGTTTCAACTCAAATGAAGTTGTAAATGATTTAACGAATGCAAATCATGACATAAGCAGAATTTTAAAGTGTATGTAAGCATGAGGGATATTTAAAGTATCTCAATAATCTCCCACTTTGTATTTCAAAACAAACAAAACAAGTATTTTTGCCTACAGTCGAAAAGATTATTAGTGTACCCTCTTCCTGCACCACACACCCGGGGGCCGTCATTCGCTTGATGTACGGAATTTGCCGAGTAATGATAAACAAGGTTTTTGTCAAGCATCGAGATTTAAATTTGCCCAGCTGCAGAAAACAAATTCATTAGCTGAAATATACGATTATTTATACAACCATAGATAATTAAAGAGTTTCTTGTGCAGATAAGTTAGTACGGTAGTTTTCGTTGTGAAATGAAATCTGCTGTAATATCAGTGGAAATACCGACATAAACGAAAAATTTTACTTGATTTTAAAAATAATGTTCGAAGCTGTCGTGATAGTTGGATTTGAGCATCACACATACATACATTAATCAATTAATTAATTTTTTTTTTAATTTTATGAAAAATATGTTAATTTGAGCTTAAATCCACCCACATACACGTAGGTGCAAGTAGAGTATTCAAAAGCAAACCTAAAATATTTTCAATTCAGTTTTTACAGATTTGAAAGAATTTTGAATGCCATGGCTATACACTTACGTTTATAAATAAAAGTAACTAACAATGTTTTCTGTATATTTGTACATTTTTATGAGCGACGAGCTTAGAATTTGCTTACTAAATACTTAAATTATTATTACTCTCTCAATGTGAGTTCATGAAATAAATATAATAAAAATGCCTATCCTATGCATACACACTTATGTACATACATATTATATATATAAGTTTCAAAGCATGACTAGCTGCATGTAAAAAGTTTATCTCCACGAAAGTGCGGCATTACAAAATAATTATCTTGAATTTAAATAGAAATGCGAAATTTTCTCACCTACATATGTACGAGTACATACATAGTATGTATATGAATATTAGATTTTTTTCTTGAACATCTTAAGCTAATCGCAATAAAATTTCGTGTTATTTCTGCAGTATGGGATGGCGCGTTATCATGATGAAAAAAGTGACGCACTAAAACAAAATGTAATAAAACTTAATTAAAAAAAGAAGCCAAAAAAAAATTAATAAAATTAAAATGAATAAAAAAATTAAATAAATTTAAGTGAAACAAAAAAATTAAAAATTAAATATATATATATAAATTAAATATAATTTTATTTTTAAGAAAACAAAACATATTAAATAAATTAAGCAAAATACAATGAAAATAAATTAGATTAAATTAACAAAAACGACATTAAATTAAATAAAATAAAAATTAAAAGTAAATAAATAAAATAACCTAAAATAATAAAATATAATAAAACTAAGTAAAAAATTAAATGAAGTTAAACCAAATGAAATCGAATTAAATAAAAATTAAATAAATGAAATAAAATAAAAAAAATTAAATGAAAAAAGTAAAATACAACAAAATAAAAAAATAAAATAAAACACAACAAATTACAATGAAAATAAATTACACTGAAAATAAATTGGATTAAATTATCAAAAATGGCGTTAAATAAAATAAAATAAAAATTAAATGTAAAAAAAATAAAATAATGTAAAATAATAGAATATAATAAAACTAAGTAATAATTAGAATGAAGTTTAACCAAATGAAAACGAATTAAATAAAGAAAATAAATCAAATTAAATCAAATGAAATTAAACAAAATTAAACAAAATTGTAATCCAATCAAATTAACTAAATAAAGAAAAAACTTTTTTAATGAAAAAGTAATGAAACAAAGAAATTAAAATTAACGTAAAAAATGGCGCAATAAGTAAAACAATAAAAATACGCACAGACATACAAAGGGATTGTTCCTTTTACATTTATTATACGAGTTGGTCGCGGCATGTGTTATAAGGAGGAGACAATAACTACAAAATATTTTTCCTATGCAATATAGTCACCAGAAAGATGGATGCATTTGTCTAATCTTTCAATTAATTTATTTATAATTTCATAAAAAAATATTTCCCTTTATTTGCAAAAAAAGAAAACACCAAAACTGCCTACTTGACATCATCATCGTTGCCCTGTTCTTTTTTTCATCTTTGGATCAATCCTCTTTCGTCCTGTTTTCCAACAAATTTTTGAAAACTCTTGGTAAGCACGCTTCGGTGTACCATTTCACAGTTACTGCCCGACCCTTTTCTATTGGGGTAGCAGGTACGAGTTAAGATCGGGTGAAGTAAACTGACATGATTACTTTTGCTGCTAATTTTTGTTGCTTGGATTTTACGGATGGGTGTACTCCTATTGGGCTCTATACCATGGACTGCTGTTTGGTTTCTGGATCGTATTTATAGAACAGAGATTCGTCACAAATAACGATTTTACTAAAGTTGCTAGACTGTCCGTTTTCGTATTTGTTTAGCAAGAATTGAGCAAAATGAACTCGGGACTGTTTTTTGGGTCTCATTTAGAATTTGTAGCGCACAGCGGCTAGATTTCTTCGTGTATCCAAAATGATGACCTAATATTCACGATACAGCCATGGTATTTAAGCCCAATTCATTAACAATCATTTTTTGTGTCCAATGTGGGTCTTCCTCGAATTTTAGACTTCTTCAAAGCTACAGTGCCGTCATCAGTGGAAGATTTCAACCGACATTCTCGTCCTCTACGGCAAAATGTCCGGTCTGGTATCTTCGTAACCACTCAGCAATAGTCTTTAAAGACAGTGTAATCATTCCATATTCAATTTGGCATTCACTGAATATTTGTATTGGCTGTAAATTACACCGTAACCCGCAGAAAATCACATGGCGAATTTCTGTTTGTGTTGGCGGCGAAATTTCGTCCGACTTATTCTCAGTAATCTTGCGTTTTCTCGTTTCCATTTCAGCCGATCGCTCTAAAATTTCAAAGGAAGACTAATAAAGTAATTGCAAAGGAATCACCAACCGATCGAACTTTTGTCACACTCCTCGTATGTAAAAAAAATCATCAGCAACTATGCTGATTTTGTTGCATTTTTAATACTCACCTAGTCAAATCAAAGAAATACAATTTGTTATTTTGTTTACATTTTTATTACACATTTTCTCAACTTAATTGTAATTATTGTTTATTTATTTTGCCTTTCCATTGTATTATGTGTATATATGTTTATGTATATTAATTACGCTGACAGCTAGGGACAGCAGTAAACGTTTAATCTTTGTTTTTTGTTATTTATTTATCATTCTTTTTACTTATTATTTTGATTTATATTTTTATTTTATTTTCATAATTTTTAATTTTATTTTTATATTATTTATTTTAGTTTATATATATATTTTTTCACTTTGCTTTGTCATTGTTGTTATTTATTTATTAAAAGGCTGTTCATTTGCTGTACTCAACTTACATTTATTTCGTTTCGTTTAATTTTAAAGTGCATACACGCTGGCGTACATTTAAATGTACATACATACATATGTATTGTATATATGTGTATATATTAAATTTATCAGTATTTATGCCAATTTGCACTTACTGCTCTGATTTAGCTAGTAGTCATGTTCTTCTTCGTCTTCCTCATCTACTTCAAACTCTTTTTTTTATTTTTTTTTTTATCTACTTTTCATTTGTGTTTGAGCATTCCTTTGGACCTGCATTTCCCAAAACCATTCACTTATTGCTTTGTAATTCTTTTTTTTTTGTTTTTTTTTTTTTTTGAATACTTTTCATTCTTTTTCTTCTGCAACCTTTGACTACTTTGAGTTTAATGCCTTTTGTTTTAAGGCCATTTTCCCCCTCCGTCTTCCTATACGACGTTAACCCCCCAATTCAATACATAGTACACATATATATAAGACCTATTTGATTTGTTGTTGTTCACAGTATTTTTTTTAATCCTTAGTTTTTTCAATTCTGTTACATTTCCTTTCTTTTTTTCTTCTTGTTTTTATTGTTGGTGGTGTACTTGATTTGATTTGGTGATTAAATTCTTCACTAGTAAATGCGCGCGTGTGTGTGTGTGTGAGTGAGTCTCTAAAAAGAGCTGAGCGAGTGAATAAGTGAACGAGTGGGTGTTGAGAACGAGTTGAGATTGATTTGAGTAGCGTTTAGGTGAAGGCGTACGGAATGTGTGTGAGTAGGAGTGGGTATGTGTGTGTGTGTGTGATAGCGTACAATAAATGTGATTTTCATGCGTTCACGTGATTTTTTATGCGTTCCTATGCGTTTTCATGTGTGCATTAATGTGTTTTTCTATATTTGTTTGTTTATTTATTTATTTATTTTTTTTTTGATTTGTTTCATGCGGCTTCAAATGTTCTAAATATCATATGCACGTGATAAGAGTATAAAGTTTGGTGAGTAAGTGTGTGATTTAGTGATTTTGGTGTATAGAGGCGGGAAGGTTTATTTTTTTTTTTTTTTTTTTTTTTCGATTATATATAAACATACAATACGTGTATAAACAGTACATACAGACGATTATAAGTTGTGTTGGTTGTTTGGGTATACGGATATATAAGTTTTTTTTTGTAGTTTTCGCTATTTAGATATATCAATATACAGGTTTTTTTTTGATATTTTGGATTTTTTTTTTTTGGTTTTTTAGGTATATTTTCTTTGCTATTTTATCACTAATTGCTACACATTCAAAAAATTGCTATATATGCTCTAGTTCGTTTGTTTGCTTGTTTGTTGTTTCCTCTTTTGCTTTGCTTATTGTTTTCTGTTTTTCAATAGTTTTCTTTTGCTGTTATTATTGTTAGCTGGCAATTGCTGCAAATACAGCAAATGCGTTTAGCCTTTGCTGTCTCTGCTGTTGCCCGTGGCTTTGTAACGGGGCGGTAGTAATGGCAGTATTTTTTTGTTATTGTTGTTTTTTTTACTTTTCTTTGCATTTTCCCCAAACACTGCACGCCAAACATTCTTCAAAGACTAGCCGTCCCTTACCGTCCATTGCTGAAGTAACAAAATTCTGAGTTTTTCATAAATCCTTCTCCCAACCACATTCATATTCCACTTTACACTAATACTTTTGATCAATCCGCCACAAAGTTCTAATTTTCAAATCCTCCTACTTCCATCCTTTATTTCTCGAATATTAGTTCACCCGTTAGTAGCGGATTCATGTAGGTCTGCACCTCGTAACCCGAACGCTTACGCGCGCCACCACCACTCCTGCGCTCGTTGTGCGTATAGTAGATGGGTCGCTTGTCTTCGCGCGAATTCAACACCAACGGTATGGGCAGTTGTGTGTAGGGCTCTTGGACCACGGAGAGTATGGGCGGATTCATGGGTGGTGATTCTACTACAAACGGTTCGGGTTCATAGTCGTTGTTGTTGTTGTTATTATTATTATTGTTACTGTTATCAGCATTGTTGTTGTTGTTCCCTGCCACGCTCTGGTTCTTGCGATGATTTTTACGTGATGTGTGTCGATGATGGTTGTTGTTGTTGTAATGTTTACGATGCATTTTACGTTTGTTGTGTCCATTATTTGATGCTGCCGCTGTTGCCGATGACGAGGAGGATGACGAGGAGGAGGAGGAGGAGGATGAATAGGAGTAGGACGATGAGGTTGCCGTTGCAAGCGCAGATGCGGGTGCCAGCACTGGTATGGGCGCTTGCGCAGTATCCAATATTGGTATACGTGGTTCCATGCCATCCATTAGCGTACGTGATGGATCGAATAAGAAGGTGCCATTTGTTGGTGTAACCGGCTTGCGTAACGGTTCATTTGGATTTGCTTGTATTATTGTCGCTGTGGCGAAAATCTCTTGAAATTTATTAGCTGCTGCTAGTTGTTGTAGATGGAGATGTTGTTTTTGTAGAAACTGTTGTCGCTGCAATTGTAGTTGATTGAGTATGCGATATTGTTCGAGTATGTGCTTGTAGAATTGCTCAGCGGTGACTTCCGATGAATTGAGTAGGCGTATGGCGATTTTTTCTGGTATCACAATTTTGTCTAGAAACGGAAAGAGGAGGAGATGAATGACATATTTAACAGAATGAAGTAATTTGACATCCTTAATATATACATTTTTTAAAATTGGAGTACTAAAGTAACTAAAAAAAAAATTAAAAAAAAATGATAAAATTAAAATAATATTAAAGAAAATACAAGAAAAGTTAAATAAACAAAATGAAATTAAAATAAATAAAAAACAAAAAAAATGAAATAAAAGAAAAATCTAAATAATAAACGAAATCAAAATAAAATAAAAAATAATAAAAATAAATTAAATAAAAAAAATCAAATAAAATCAAGTAAAATAAAACAAATTATATTAAAACAAAATGAATTTAAATAAAATAAAATAAACTAAAACACTAAAATAAATTAAATTTAGTAAAAAATGAAGTTAAATAAAACGAATAAAATAAAATGAAATAAAATAACATGAAATAAAATAAATTAAAATCAAATAAAAAAAATAAAATAAAACAAAGTAAAATAAAATAAAATAAAATAAAATAAAATAAAATAAACTCAATTATAATAACATGAAAAAAGTCAAATAATATTAATATAAAATAAAATAAAAAAATGAAATTAACTAAAACGAATAAAATATAATGAAATAAATTAAATTAAAGTAAAATAACAGAAAATAAATTAAATAAAATAAATTTAAAAACCATGAAGTAAAGTGAAATAATATTAAATAAAGTGAAACAAAATAAAATAAAATAAAATAAATTAAAATAAAATGAAACGAAATAAAATAAAAAAAAATAAAATAAAGGAACAAAATAAAATAAAATAAACTCAAGTAAAATAAAAAAATCTAATAAAGTAAAACGAAATAAAATTAAAATAAAATGAAATCAAATAAAAAAATAGAATACTAAAATAAGTTAAATTTAATAAAAAAAATGAAATAACTTAAGGTAAAATAAAACAAAATAAAATAACATAGAACAAATTAAAAAAAAAAATTAAGTAAAATAAAATAAAATTAAGAAAAAAAAATACAGTAAAATACAATGAAAAGAAACAAAATAAAATAAAATAAGGAAAAATTAAAGAAAAAAATAAAATAGGATAAAACAAAATTACTAAAAAATAAAAAATTAAATAAATTAACCTAAAAAAAATGAAATAATCTAAAAAAAAAAAGTTAAATAAAGTAAAATAAAATAAATAGATATAAACCAAATGGAAGAAAATATTTAAGGGGAATATATAAAGAAGTTATAGAAGTATATTTTCGTAAATGTTTATTATAAAAAGTTTGGTGCCTCCAGTGTTACTAGAAAATTTTATGTAAATACAAAAAATATATTCATGATTAAAAATATGGAAAATGTGTGTGAAATACTTAAGAAAATTTTCTCATCCGCATAGTTTTATTTGTTTGAAATTTCAAATTAATATATAATAATATGTATAACTGAGTAACCTCCATATATCATTCAATATCACGGCATTTCTACGACGACTCAACAAAATCACACACTAAATGTGATTACGTAATTACTTATTATGCTGCTCACAGATGAATAAATAAAATATAATCATAAATGCATAAATACTTGAGTAATTAGAGAAACCCAAAAAATAAAACGCACAGCTGTCAGCCTGCTTTACTTCTTCGACATAATTGCCACCAACAACAAGTTTTTTGCTGCATTTGATGTCCTTTAATGGCAGCGACATCTTTATGCCTTTTTTATATAAATATATATAAGAAGTTATTTGCGAAAATACATAAAATTATATACATATGTACTTATGTACGTACATATATATGTATGTACTTATATATGTCGACGGCAAGTGGTTATTGCTTTTGTTTTTGTGCATTTGTCTGTACATGGTCATAACCTTGTCGCCGGCAAATCGTCGGTTCGGTGGCGTCTATTTGATGACTGCACTATGTTGTTGTACATGTCATTGTAGTTGTAGTAATTGCTGTTGTTGTTGTAGCTGTCGTGCCTGCCACCTTGAAAATGTTGAGTGCAGAAATTATGCCAAATAACAAGTTTGCTTTGCTCCCCATTTTTTTTTGCGTTGTGTTGTGTTTGACTGCCGCTGGTTTGCTCCAATTTATTTATTTATTCAAAGAGTGAATATATGTATGTACAGTTATATGTACATAATTGTATGTGTAGGCACAGTTGTGTTTTTAACCCACTTAATATTTGAATGAATATTAGAGCAATGCAAATTTGCAATTAAAAATACAACAACAAACCCTTGAACTAAATGCAGTTAATATGAGGAACAAGCGTCTTTGGGTGGGTGGGTGCTGACTGTATAAAAAGGAAGGCGCTATACTGTAAATGTGTACATTAGTATGTAAACATGTGTACATGTGTATACAGTATACGAGTATTTGCGAACAAAAGTACCGTTAAGTGAGCGAATGGGCAGTAAATGGACAGCAGGCAAATAAATTATGGATTGTTGATTGTGTGAGTTGAACGTTTACTCGGATTTTGACCCGTCAAAGTGGCTTACAGAAATAGAGATCCCCGCTCGTACATAAGCACATGCATTCTAGCATACACTGGCATGTTTGCGTGTGTGTGTTCAAAGGCATGAGTGTCACAAGTGTCATGAGTTTAGCTACAAGTCAATGTATCGTTGCACGAACATACTCCCACCGGCCTCGAAGCGAAAGAGCTCATATTTACATACCATATATTGCGCTACATGCATATTAGACTATTCGGCAAAGATATTCATATTACAAAAAATTTGAATCGAATTTTTAATAAATAACCTTTTTTTTGTGATTTCACCATCGAAGTAATAATGGGTTAACAATCTCGTATCTTTGAGTCAAATACTAACAATTTCAATAAAAGAAAGGGTTTATTATACTCTCAATAACCTAAATTAAATAAAATTAAATAAAAATACAGTAAATAGTCTAAAAAATTAAAATAAAATAATATATAATAATATAAAGTAAAATTAAATAAAAACTTAAAATGAAGTACAATAAAATAATAAAAGCAAAATAAAAAAAAAACAAGATAAAATAAAATGCAATGAAACAAAATAAAATAATAAATATAAAATAAAATTATATCAAACAAAATAAATTAACAAATAAGAGAAAGAAAAATATGAACATAAAAATAAAAGTACTAAATTAAAATTCAATAATTAAATGAAATAAAGCAAAATCAAGTAAAGTAAATTGAAACAAAAATTGGAAAAACGCAAAGTAAATAAAAATAAAATAAAATAAAATAGNAATAAAATAAAATAAAAATAAAATAAAATAAAAAGAAATAAAATAAAATAAAAAAAAATAACGGAAATAAAATAAAATAAAATAAAATAAAATAAAATAAAATAAAATAACATAAAAATAAGAAAAAATAAAATAAAACAATATAACATAAAATTAAATAATAAAAAATAAAAAATAATAATAAAATGAAATAAATATAGAAAAATACAATAAAATAAAATATAATAATTTAAAAATAATAATGTTTACAAAATTAAATAAATAATTGAAAAATAGAGTACAAAAGAAAGAATTTTTACTTTTGCTAATGAAGAATTTTAACTCATATTAAATTTAATAAAAATTATTTATGTTTTAGGCTGAAATAATTTTTTTAAGTAAAGTTTTTACTTATAATTTTGACCGTCAATTATGAGAAATGAAGTCAGGCTTGGAATTTTTTTCGGTGCCATTGAGAGGAATAGTTTCGCAGATTTCTGCTTATTTAGATTAGAGTTAATACATAAATATATGTATTAACTTAACAAATCTTTTAAGCGATTAATTTCTATTGTGTTTCACAAGTGATAGTAATTATGTTACGTATACGCAATGTTGAACAATTTTAGAATGAGAAATATTTTTTAAACATATAATTTAAGTTGAGTAGAATTATTGAAAAAGTAAAAGATTTGTGATCGCTCAAAACGTATTCAGTAAGTAATGTACAATCTAATTTTTATACATACATGCATTTATACATACATATATCTATATATATGTATATATGAATGAGTATGTGCACTGGGTATATTGTATATAATGTGTTAGCACAGCAACGCCTGCCTTTCAGCACAAACTAACCTACCGCAAAATGCGCTTCCCACCCTCTCCCTACACCAGATAGCAGCAACCCACTTTTTTACATATGTGTTTTGCAACCCCATTGACCTAATTTTTGGTGCAAAGCGAATTTGCAGCGCTGCAACCGCAAAACGTGCACGAATAACAATAACAAAGAGTAAATACACATACATATATACATACATCCATACATATATGTAATTGCAGTACTGGATAGGCAAAAGAAAATGCAACAAAAGCACCAACAATAAAAATAATAATGATATCGCTAAGGTTGATGTGGTTATGCACAACAATGACAACAATGCCGCGTTGACTATAACAAAACCAACAACTACGTATCGACAACGGCAACAACAATGGCAATAATAATCGCGTAAACTAGGCGTTGCACTTGTTAGCTACTCGCAGGCTATTACAACATCACTACTTTTCACACTCAACTCACTCAACGGTACACACACACACACACATACACACACAAATGCATATTTTCCTACATGTTATATGTTTTACACGTAAGTGTGTGCATATCCTTGCTGCCGCACATTTCTATCGCTCATTTTCTATCCTATCTGACGATCCCCAGCACAAAACCCGCATTTGCTTGACACGCATGAATAGTTGACTAGCTGCCTGCTGCCTGCTGCCTGCTGTTCGGCTGATATAACAACGGAATATCTAAGTGTCTGCGTGTGTATGGGTGTGTATGTGCGCTTTGTGGCCTAGAATTTCAACAGCTGCCACAAGTGGAAGAATTTCAATTCATAATACAACCAAAGTGGTAGCAGAGGCGGCAGCAAAAGAAGAAGAAGAGCCAGCAGCAGCAGCAACAGTAATAGCGGCAACTACTTTTTCATTAAACGCACACTTTTCTCTCCCTTTCTCATTTTCCCCACCCACCCCCTGCACTGGCCTGCACTGTTGTGGCTTTGCGCCTTTTATTCCACAACTATTCTATTCTAGTTTTTTCTACGGCCTTTGTTTTGCAAACTCTTTCACTTTTTACTGCACGTACTAATTTGCAAAGTCTTTGTTTTGCTTTGTTTTGTTTTGTGTTTTCTGCTTTTTTGAGTTTTATTTGTTTTCTTTTTTTTTTTAGTTTCATTGTTATGTCCCTTTCTTAATGGCAGGTTGAATTTGTTTTTTTTTTTATGTTTTTCTTTTTTGGGGGACGATTGTTGGGGCAACCAAAGGAAGCTCGGGCTCACTCACGTACGTAAGGACTAATTTGCACAGGGTTCAAAAAGGTGACATTTGATTGGCTAAAATTGGACAAAGGCATGTATAGAAAGTGAAATTGTTTGCTTGAATGGAGCCGAAACGGAGTTGATGGCAGAGAGGGCGGCGCCGACAGTTTTGATTTCTAGCAATGGTGTGGCGGGTGTATTAAAAGTTTTAAATTAATTGCCGTTACACTTTTTACTATGGGGGAAAATTAAAGCACGTAGCATTTACGCTTTCAGGGAAGGCAGTTTTATTTGTCAGAAAGTTAGACGGTGCGGCCGGTTGGTGCCGGAAACAGTTGATAATCAAGTGGAAACTATTACTTATTTTCTTTTTGTAGATTTGGTAAACTTATGCTTTCCGAGATTAGTTAAATAATTAATAGCCGTTGTTCTAAAATTGTTGAGCTAAACTTTTGCTAGAAAATCACACGAAGAGGGCAGGGCGATCGATATGCACAAGAGATCTCAGGTCAGTTGGGAACTATGACAGCTAATCTGGTTTAACTAGAGACATTACCGTTCATCTTTCAAGTTGTGCTGCTCTTATTTTTTCAAAGAGTAAGAAAATAGTAAAGAAAAGTATGATTTAGTGCCATTGGCTGGGCGCTGCTTAATACAAAGGCGGTTGGCTACTCAGCGTATAGCACTCTTGCGACAACTCAATAAAAGTTGGCAAGGAAATTGCCAGACGAGTTTTGATAACTTAATTATTTTATTATTGGCTATTATCGGCTCATATATTCCACAGTGAAGATTGAGATGTTTCAGAATTTGCGAGGGATCCCGCAATTTAAAATAATTCATAATTTTTTTTTTTTGGTTGGGGAGGTGTTAAAAGTTCTGACTTGTGGCGACTCTCTCATTGTATTTTGTAACCACCGAAACGATTTTCCACCAAGCTCCTTCCCCAATTTGTGGTTTTACGTCTTGATTTTTTTTCCCAAAAATGGAAGAACCTACAGTTTATACTCAACCGCCTCCAAATGGTTGATGGATTTTCATGAGAAATTAATATTTTATTCCCTGCCTAGGGGCGAGCGCTATTTGAAAAAATTAATTTAGTATAATTTTGAATATTTTTTGGACCAGTATTCGAGCCTGGACCTCCGGAAAGTAGTTCCCACAGTGAACTACCGACTATTGCAGCTGTATTTAGGTCAAAGATGTTCATAAATTTTTTTCGAGCATTCAATACTTGAGTTGAAGTTGAGCCAGATATCGTGACGCAGTGTCACTCAGTGTTTTCCACCAATGCAAGTGTTCAAGCCATTCTTCTTCGTGTTCACTGGTGTAGGCACTACTTAGGCGACTTTAGCCGAGTTACGAAAAGAACACCAAACGTGTCTTCTTTACGCCATAGGCGCCAATTGGAGATAACAAGTGCAGTAAGACACTTCAATATCTGATATTTCCAAGGGAGTGCAAGCGTTCCTCTCTTTCTCATCTTCCATCAGCTGGTACTATATCGTATACTTTTAAAGCTAAAATGTTCTAATTCAAGCGAACAACATGACTCAGTCTACGTGGTCGCTTTGATTCGCTGAACAATGTCAATTTTAACCGCATATCCGGTACAGCTTATCATTTTTTCGGCTACCGTATTCGCATTTCGCGAAATTTCTCTCTCGAAAGCTTCTAACGCCAACACATAAGATGTTGTCATCTGTTTATGCGTCTGAATCATATAACAGGCCGTGAAGGATGAGGAATTTGTGGGGTTTTGGTTTTGTTCGTCGAGTTAGGACTTCACTCTTTAATGGCCTGTTCAGTCCAAGTAGCACCCGTTGAAAGGAGCGATTATGCATTTTAATAATAATAATTATAGTTTATACCAACCGAGAGTACACATCTCCGCCATAGCTGAGTTGTGAGCATGGTGGCAACGTATCATTCAGCTGAAGGCCGGTCACTCGCAAAGGTAGTGCTCCAGGGTATGCCATCTTCTGTGCAAGCCGTACACCCAGCTGATACCAAGCTTATAGGTACGATAGCTGAGGGGTAGATGCCCTGTCAAACACGCTTAGGAACGTTAAGTTTTTTTTTTACTTAATGTAAGTAAAGTTTCGTCTGCCCGCTACCCACGCTGCTTCAAACCAGTTTAGAGGTATGTTCCACGTAGGATGAGTTCCCACACCGTAAGTGCTCCTCCATGGATCACTGTTGTAAAGAACATTTGAAGGCGCTGTCTTATGTCTTATGTTTTCTACACTTTCAAAGGTTGCTATCGCATGATCGGAACTAATTTCAGATGATATAGCGTGAATGAACTGTAGTCATTTATGACCTGTCGAGCAATTTATTTCCCCAAAAGTCTTTTGACAACCAAAAATGAGTTAAAACAATGCGCTGCAACAGTCAGTGGCACGTTTGCGATAAATGCCTTATTATTTTGAAATGATAGTTTAATTTTTATGAGCGATTTCCATCGCAATAAAATTACAAAACAAAAAAAAATTATTAAAAACTTTTTTTTTGTTACAAAATAAATGAATCTTACACCACTGTGCGACCGACTTCTCATTACTTGCACATTCTACTCGCGTAAATGAAATCCTTTGTAAGGAAATCATGTTATAACCAAAAGTACACACACACACACACACCCCAACATGCTTACATATGCATAACTCAAACACATTCATTCATGCATGCAAAAACTTTAACAAAAAAAAAAAAAAAAAAAAACACAAAAAAAAATTGAAGTAAAAACAAAGTTCTTAAGTATGGCAAATGAATCGTATTTACGTTCGTCTGTATGTGTGCACATTATAAATTTCTACTGGCTTACCGCATTGGTTGCCCTTAGTGACAAAGGGTCTAATAGTTGGATCCCAAATAAAGATGTAGTACAGTGACAACATAATCGCCGCCAACGAGACACATAACACATACACCGCCACGGTAAGGATGCGGATGACTTTACGATTCTTGCCTGGCGGCTGATAACACCGGCTTATCGTCTCCGTCGGCGGCAGTTTCACTTTCTCCTCCAGTGAACTGACTTTCGAACTCATCGCACTGCCGCTGCCACCGCTGCCTCTGCTGCCACCGCCGGCGCTACCACCGCTGCCGTGTTCCTCCAGTTTTGCGGCTTTTGCGACGCTCTTAAAGCGATTTAGTCAGTCAAACTAAGAGGATGAAGTTTTTCTGCACTTACACCGATACACACACACACACACACAAGAGCGCGCGCGCACACTGTCACTCACTGTTGTCTGGTAAAGCTTCTACTTGTTATGTGCGCGTTTGCTTACTTGCTTGCTATGTGTTTTCCGTTATTTGTTTGTGTGTGTGTGTGTGTTTTTGTATGCGTTGGTCGTCTGGTTGTTGGTTGTTGTTGTTTGTGTGGGTGTGGTCGCTCGCGTAATTTGTTTCAGTTCTCCGGTTCTTAAGTGCGTTTATCTATTTTACTATCAATTTGTTTTTGGCTGCTATAGCCATATATGTACATATATATAAATATTTCTCTAAGTGAGCTTGCGTGTGTGTGTGTGTATGTGAGTGCGCGCGCTTTGAAGGATTAAAAGTCGTCGTTGTTTGATTTCAAATTACTGTTGCACTGATTATTATTATTGTTGTTTTAGTTGCTGTTACTGTTGCTGTGGCTGTTCACGTTGCTTTGCTTGTCTCTACTCAGTGCTGTTGGCGTATTGTTTGTTATTTTTCTTCCTCTTGTTGTTGTTGTGCCGTCACAAAAGTTCTCGTCGTTATTAGTTATCGCTGCTGCATTTGTTGTTGCTGTAAAGTGTGCTCTTATGTGTTAAATTGCTGCAATTAATTGCTATTTCGTCCTCTATTGCTATACTCTTCGTTGCTTTGATGCTCTCTGCTCGCTTCGTTTCTTACTATCTTGGCTTTGCTTAGTTTCGAAAATTTCGCTTTTAACGCTTTTGATATGTTGAAAGTCTCGTTGAAATGCAATTATGTCGATTGTTCAGTTTTGATGTGTGTGTACATATGTATGTATGTATAACTAGCCGTACGATGCGTTGCTTTTTGCCTAAAATTACACACAGGAGTATATGTAGAGATAAGTGGTTTTTATTGAAAGCCATCAGCTTTTGAGTGATTTTTCGATTTTTTATTTGATTGTGATTTTTATTTTTATTTTTCACTTTAACCTTTTCTTCTTAAATTAAATTTCATATTGAGCATTTAAATTATTTATCTTCAAATCAAAGAAATTTATTTGTTTTTTTTTTTTTTAAATCAAGCTAAATAGTCGCTCGCTAAAAATTTGTAATTCTTCCCCTAAAATTGCGTTTGACTTTGAAAATATTTTAAAAGCATATTCCAGTGCGTTCCAGTTAATTTCATTTATTTCTTTCATAGTATTTGTACCTTGTATTATTATTAATTTTTATTTGTTTAAATAAAGTATTTTTAAATTAAAATTATTATTTTTTTATTTTATTTTTTCTTGCATATCCTTGATTTTTTTTTTAAATAAATTGTAATTATTGCATAAATAATATATTTGACGGCTGGACAAATTATTGCTTTGAGTATTTTAGAAAGTTTGAATTAATATTTTTTTTTATAAAATATCTACTAAAAATAATTCTTTTAGTCTTTTTGAAAAAAAAAAAAAATAAAACTTCTACAAAAAATATTTTATAAAAATATTTCTTAATTAAATCCATTGAATTTGGAATTTAATTTTTGTTTCGAAATTTTGTAGAAATTTTTTGGATTTTCTCATTAAATTTCAACATATTTTGACTACATTTCTAATATCGATTGAATTTGAGAAGAAGAAAGAAATATTTTTGGAATATTGTGAATTTTTTTATATTTAGATATTAGGTGTATGCATTAATTCGTGCGGTTTTTTAAGAGAGGGCTCTACTAGTATTATTTCGCGACGTGTTCATCTGTGGCTAATTTCATTTCAAAGGTACTGTCATTTCGCATCATTTACAGTAGATGTCATTTGTTTTAACGTGAACAACAGCTTGTTTCATTAATTTGAAAATGTCGAAATTTGTACCAGAAAAAGTGTTTTTGCGGGGAGTTCTTCTTCATTACTTCAACATGAAGAAAAGTGCTACCGAAAGCCATCGTATTTTACTGGACGTTTATGGTGACCATGCTTTAGCCGAACGAACGTGCCAAACGTGATTTGCATGGTTTAAAAGTGGCAATTTCGACTTAGACGTCAGACAGCCAAAATTTCAAGACGAAGAATTGGAGACATTGCTCGACGCAGATGCATGCCAGACACAAGAAGAACTTGCAAAAGTATTAGGAGTTGATCAAGCAACCGTTTCCAGACGATTAAAATATTTTTTTCACCATAAAGCCTTAATTTTCGAAAAAAAACGCGCGAATTAATGATTATATATTATTTTTGCGGCTTTTTTGATTTGAGTACTAATACAAAGTGCATTAATATTTAGTTTAATTTAATTTAATCTTTAAGAAAAAATATTAATAATTTTAATTAACTAGTTTTTCATATAAACCAACTAGATTTCCTCGAATAGCTCAGTCTCTGGTCCACATCCCGGAGAGACCTTCTGTTTATCTAAGCAAAAGGCCATCTATGCACTGAATGCCATGTAAATCGAACCATAAATAAGATTTCTTTGAATAGATCAGTTCCTTGTTCACTTCCCACTTTTCTTCAAAGCTTTCCCAGCTATCACAGAAATGATCTGAAGAACTTTCAAGTCAATCGAGTGGTAATTTTTGGAGATTTTTGAAGATTACTGAATTTTCCAAATATTACAACATACACTTCTCAAAAAACTATTTTAGAATCGTTTTTCAAAATTCTGCAACTTTTATCAATTAAATTTAAAAAAAAAATGTTTATTTTGAAATTTCGTGAGGTTTTAAATTTTTTTTAATTAAAGGGCTGGTGCCACCTCCATTTCTAAATTAATTAAATGGTGATTCAAACGTTGCCACGTTTCCACTCGCCAAAAAGCAAGACCACGGTGCACATAATCGTTCAGCTCCTAAGGCAATTGGGAAAATTCGAAAGAAATTTCAGCTCACTGGATCGGTAACAGATCATCGTTTTGAGCGTTGAAGCTCAAGTGTCGCTACTCTATCTGAAAGCGTAGCTGAAGTCCCGAGTGTGCCTATTTTTCGACACGTTGAAGAGCTGGGACCCACATAGAATCAAGCTCATACAATAACTGAAGCTAGCTGACCATTCACTACGCCGTACACCCGGCGGTTGGGTGCTTGAACAACAAGCAGTGGACGGTGATTTTTCGAAAACGATACGTAAATAAGCATTTGGGGTTCCGATAATCTTCAAATGGTTGAAGAGAAGTTATAATATAAAAAAGTTACTGTCTGGTGCGCTCGATTGGACCTTAGTTCTTTGAAAACAACAATAGCGATACTGTCAGCATCAAATCAGAGTCATTTATGATAACCGTCTATTTTTAGCCTGCAATTGAAGAATGCGAACTGGATAAAATGTATCTACAATTAGAAAATTTTATAGTATTTCACATATTTTGCCAAGATTCAAACATTATAATAAAAAAAAAATCCATCAAAAAGTAATTCTAAATGCATTGTTTTAAATTTATTTTCGAAACCGCAAAAGGATAACTTTGTACAATAAAGTATATTCTCTTCAAGCCATACCGATGACTGTTAATATACACTAGAGGTTGAAATACTACGTCTGAGCTTGAATTAACTTTAAAAGAATTTTTTTAAACGTTTCGTCGTCGTTGATCTGGTTTTCTCAGACTCAAGGTACAATCTATATATCTCTTATTTCATTAAAAAAAAAAAAAAAAAACAATAATTTATTTTATTTTGCTTTTTATATTAATTAATTTAGTTAGATATATTCCTCAGGTATTAAACGCAGGAATAATATTAAAAAAATTATCATTTTTTTTTATCTATTTTTTGAAATAAAAGCCATATAATTCCTTTTATTTTAATTTTTTTTTCCAATAGAAGCCATTTTGCAAAAACTCTAAATTTCTATTATTTTTTTCTTCAATACTTTTATTAATGTATCTTTTTTTGAAGCTCAGATAATACAAATACAAATCGCGGTAATAAATGTCTTCTATTTGCATTGCCATCACTTGTAAATAATAAGGAAAGAACTTTCGCTATAAAAGAGGTTTCAGACTTCTTAAGAAAAGGTGTTTTATTTAGCCTTCCAACTGTGTATAACCATTAAGCGTTTCAAATTTATGGGCTTATTACGGCATAATTGCTCATGCGCCTATTATGAATTTTATGTTCAAAAGGTTACGTATACGCCATGTAGTTTTGTTATCTAATTTCAATTGGAAAATCTTTTACTGCGACAAGTTAACCTTAAGCTTAATTTAGCTGAAATTTTCCGACAAACCCATAAGTAGATAAATTTAAATTACATGAAAAGAGTTTTTTGTTTAAAAATAAATCAATTCGAACAGCTTATTAATCTAATAACAAAATTAATGAATAAAAAAATCAAAGTAAATTCGCTGAAAACAGAAACTGCCACAAGTAGAAGCGAGCCGTTAATTTTTATGAGTTAAAAAAAAAAATTAAATTGATCAGCCGTTGAATAATTGATATATTTGATATTGAACAAAATACATTATTATTATATTACAATTGATTTTAAAAAATTTGTTTAAAACGCGTAAGAAAGTTTACTAATTTGAAAGTCTATAGCTTCCTAAGATAATTGAGTTCGCTCGTCAGCGTAAAAGTGGCTTTTAGGCTTTAATGGGATTTGAGTCTGTTTAAAAATACTTTTTGAGCTACTTTATTATAGAGATTTTTCACTTTATAAGTGCGGCCGCGTGGTTAGCATTACTTACGTACTACCACTCTGAGTGCAGGGGTTCGAGGTACGAGTCCTGTTCCAAAAAATAACTAAAAATTATAGAAATTTAATTTTAATAAAAAATTTAGTTTATTATTCCAAATGCAATCGCTTCTTGGCAGGGAATGTCTTGCTCTCCGAGTGTATTTGTGGCATGAGGTAAGGCTTCTCTTAAAAATTCACCAGCCTCTCGGAGGCGGCTTGGAACATACGCTCATTAGATTTCAGCATTTGATGGAAAAATATCATCGCTTTAGTAGTTTAAAAGTTTTTTCTTTAAACTCTCCGCTAAGTCGGCTTTGTATATCGTCCGTAATCTGAGCAACGCGAATGCATTCATTCAACTTTGGTGTTAAGTATTCGAATAATTTTATGAAGAGTATTGAGATTACTTTGTGTGGACCTCAAAATTATTTCAAACACTTTCTCAGTTATATTTTATTACCACATTTTTTCCGGTACCTGGAAGAGAGGGCGAAAAAGGCCATGCATCACAGGTATTGTAAAAAGCTGCTAGATCTACAGTTGGCATACTGTCTAGTCGTCAGTCAAGCTAATCTTTCTTTACGGTGCTCTGTTGTGGTGGCTTACTCAAACTGCGGTCAATCGACATTGCAGTGGAAAGATGTGCAGCGAAGGGCATGACATGGTGAATTTGTAAAATAACAAATTTTGGATCTATGTGACTTTAAAGGAAACTCTGAAATGAAATGTTTTACCCCCCTGTTGTACTCTGCATGCAGATCTTGCTTCTTCCGGCTACTGGGTTTTTTGAGGGATGCTAAATAATTTGGGGGTTCAGATTTGTGTCACGAAAGAAATCGAGGAATGGCTCGATGATTGGGTTGATGTTATTCGAAAATGATTAGAGACATGGGGAAAAAGTAGACGCTGCAATGCTTTGAATGATACATTTTTTATTTTCTACTTTTTTTGCAACATTCGATTCATTTGAAATAATTTTCGACCTTTTTTTGGGTCAAAAGTGGAAAGTTTATACGCATAAACAGGATTTTCGTGTTGCTCCACAAGAAAAGTCCAACGGTGCCAAATCACACGATCTCGCTGGCCAATTGACCACGCCAATACGAGGGATTCAACAGCCGATAGATTTCTCTCGGAGTAAGGCCATATTCACTCGTGATGTGCTGGCCATCATTTTTTTGAAACCGCATATTATTCAGGTCGCATTCTTTAATTGCTGACCAAGTAAAGTCGGTTGTCATACGATCAGAACGCTCCGAATCGTAAGCGGCAGTCTCGCCATTGTCGTTTTTAAAAAAATTAGTTAAAATGAAATCTCTGGACCACAGCGCGTGCACAGATAGTAAGTTTTTTTAGCATAACGGCCTCTCTTCAGTTATTTGAAGATACTCGGGGCCTTAAAGGCCTAATTTAAGTATCCACCGAGTCAGAAATGTGCCTCGTCACTGAAGAAAACTTTTTTCGAAAAAACGTGTTCAAACATCTAATCAGCGTAAGACATTGTGAGTGATCACATGGAATTTGTATGGATGTAGGTGTAAGTCCAAGTATCGTAAGAAAGTCTCAGCTATTGAGTACTTCAAGAAATATACACATTCGGGGCTACACTTTACGATATTTGAGTTGGAACGCGCAAAGCAATGATGAAGCTCAGGTTTTACAATATCTGTAACCGATCCTTTCTTCAGCAAATATTTTTTTAATTTAATCAATCTCTTGCGTAGTTGGACGCTTATGTGCACTTTAGTCTCCTTGGGCACATTTGAATCACTATTTTTGTAGTAGGTTTTAGCAATTTTAACGTGTTGTGGGGGGGGGGGGGGTGTTAGACGCTCAATTATTTTCATAAATGCCTGACTTTTAACTAAAACAAAACATGTTTGGTTCTCCAACGAAGTTTGATAGCTATGCAAATACAGCCGTGCAAAACCACGAATTGGAGAACCCCATAGTTGGGAGAAAATTTAGAACAGATTTGATTTGTATTTGTTTTTTATTTTTTATATTTTATATTTTATATTTTATATTTTATATTTTATTTTCTATTTTCGTTTTTAGTTTTTATACATCTTTTTTTTAATTTTATAATTGACTTGCGTGCAGAAAATTAATTAAAATTTATTTAATTTTATATTGCTATTTATTTAAAAAAAACATTAATCCAATAATTCAAAAATTAAAGCGGCGTTGGGAAAAAATTATTATTTTTTTTGTAACTAATGTTTTGTTATTGTTACACACAGTTTGTAATTTTATTTATTTAATTATTATTATTCAGCTCTTTTGGGTCATAAACAAATATTGTGTTATTTTTAATTCGAGCTGCTAAATTTGTCAAATTTTATTGAATTATTTGTCAACAACACGATTTTTATTACCAATGATTCTATTGATTACAGTTAATAACTTAATCATTTTTATTATTCACTTACAAGTCATAATATTTATTTTTTGATATTGTTTTTGTATGACTATTTACTGAACACACACACTCACAAAGGGGCAAAGTGATTTAGCACTTCCATCCAATTCACTTTACCACACACACCTGTCTATATACCTTTGTTGTAACGGTGTTTTTCTTCTGTGTTGTACAATTTCGAATGTTGTTGTTGTTGGGTTTTACACGCTAAAATTACTATTTATTGTCGCTCCATTTCGGTGTTGCCTTTGTTGTTGTCGATATTAATATTTTTATGCTGCTGCCACTGCCATAACTTTATTATGCCGTACATTTGCATATAAGTATGTGTGTCTTTGTATTTTAGTTAAATTTTTTTTTAATATTGTTTCGCCTTAGATTATATTCTGTATAAATGCTTGCATGGATGTTTGTAAGTATGTGCGTGCAATTTTATGCGTTTTTGTTTAATGCGTATAAATTGATATTTTTGTATATAAGTATGTATGTATGTGAGTTTATAAGTTGTGTTTGTGTAAGTATTTGTGCTACGACATTTCGATGTGCGCGTTTATAAATTGTTTAAGAATTAATTTTATTTTTCTTTTTGTTGTCTTTCACAAGTTCAAAAATCTGCTTCTTTCTTCGTTGCCTTTCCTTTTCGTTTGTTTTTGATTTTTTATTTTTTTTTTGGCGTAATAAAATTTTTGTTGTGAAAAATATATATATGTATATTCGAAAAATTGTATTCCGTCTTTTGGTTGCCGAAATTTTGTTTTGGTATGTGCGCTCCGACGCGATAACAAACTGCAACTGAACTCAACTCAACCGAACAGAATCAAACTGAACTGAACTGAACTGAACTGATTCCTCCGTCACGACGCGTCGTTCGCCACGATGAATCTCGCAAACGCAACAAACTCCCACCCACTTGCCCCTGCTCACTGTGTGGTTTCGCAAACATTTCGTACATACTGCTTCTCGCTCCATCTGCCATCAGCATATGCTTAGCCACCTTAACTATCCGAAGGAGGTGGCATTCGCAAACGTTCGTTTCCTTGTGCGTCGTACGCCATACTACCACCACCACCACCATCGCGTTGCACTCGGGCCGAAGGCGTTTTGCCATCGTGTAACTAAAATTTGTTTTTGCTTTTGTGTTTTGTTTGTGTATTTTGTTTTTGTTTGTTTCTTAATGTTGAGTAGAATTTCGAGCGAAATGCATGCTGGGAGGTGCTCAGCAGGAGGTTGCGCGGTTGATTGGGGTGGCTTAGGCCAGCGTGCCAGCTGTTATAGGAGTCACGACGACACTTCCTTGCCCGACTCAGCTGTGTTCACCTTCAACGCACACAAACACACATATATATATACACACACACACACTCATACATATGTAAGTAGATAAATATATATGTAAGCATGTGGCTTGCTGTAGTTGCAACTTTTCTGCACTACTGCCTGCTCTGCTCTTCTTCCACTGCGACTTTTGCCTTATCCTCAACACTTCTCGGTTGCATTGTGGCTTCCGATATATTACATCGCCTCTGCTTCTTTCTTTTTTTTTTTGTTTTTCTTCTTCTTCTTCTTCTTCTTATTTTGCTCCTACGGTGTATTTGCGGCGGTCGATTCCACTTGACTGGGGCGGATAAAGAACCAAAACAAACGTGTAACAAAAAGGAAAGAAAGAATTAAAGAGGAACAACAGCAGAAAAGCAACAATCGAATGAACTCCATTCAGTAAATATGAAAACGTAACTGCAGCCGTACATACGTACATATGTACATACAAATATGAATATAGATATAGTAGCTGCATATAGACTTACGTACATGCATATGTATATAGAAATTGATTGGAAATGGAAAGTGCATGGCAATCGTTCGATATATGTAGTTATACATACATACACACGTACACACATACATATACATACATATATACATGAAAGGCAACAAGAAGGCAGGTAGCTGGGGAGGAGTGCGAAAAAGAAATGTGAACTTACTTTCCCAACCAAACCGACCGAACTACACACGGCTTAAATAGTACATGCATGTACAATATATACATACATACATACACACATCTGTATTTCATTGTTGAGCTACATCATCATAGTTGCATAGACATATGTATACATACATATGTATGTACGCTTCTATGGTTTTATAGTTTATATGGCGATATGGATGAATGAATGGCCCGTAAGCTGGAGCAGCACTTATGTAAGCAAAGTATGTTATTCAATCATTTCGGAAATATTCTGGAAATTTTTAATTGGGAAAGTTTCGAGCAGCTTAAGCGACACTTAAGAATATTGCATGAGTTCGAAGCGCACAATCAAAAAAAAAAGTAAAGTGGGGGAACAAAAAATGAAAAATTAAAAAAAAAAACCAAAAAAAAGTCACGTGAAATATCCGGCTTATTGTCAAACAGATGAAAAGTTCTTAAGTAATGAGTAAGACGTGGATTTTGTGGTTTGTTGTTTTAGCTGTTGTTAAATCAGATCAAAACGAGTCGCAAAGTTGAGGTTAAGCACCCAAAATAGACCAAAAGGCTGTAAATACATAAAATTCGATGCCGTGAAGGTGAAGTGTAAATGTAGTAGGCATTATCGCAAGGCTTTGGTTCGTAGTGTGGAAATGGTAGTATTGGAAGGTGAAGTGAGTCAATATAATTGTCATTGGCGCTTTATAACCGCTAAAGCGATTTTCGGCCGACCTCCTCCTCCAAGTTGTGGTTTTTGCGCCTTGATGTTTTCCAACAAATGGAGTCGTCTACAGTTTATATTACTAAGCCACTTCCAGACTGCTAATTGTTTTTTATGAGGATCCTTTATTTCATATCAGAAATATACTCGCAGGTGTTGACACTCCCTGCCAAGGGGCGACCGTAATTAAAAGAAAATTATTTTCTTAAATTTTGGATTTTATTCTAACAAGTACTCGAACCAAGACACCAACTTTGGCCTACATAATAGCATTGTGCAATGATAAGCACTCGGCTATTGCGGCCGCAAATATTGGTTCTCAATAATTTTCATAAAGATCCCTATGAGTTATTTTATGTCAGAAGAATCTTCGTAAACTTAGCAATCCCATGCCAATATGAAGGTAGCTGGAGGCTATAGTTTTTGCAAAACATAGGTTAGGCATTCGATATGTTAACTAAAATACACTAAGGAGAGTGTAGGCTCAATGTGATACCATGTTATTGACCCGATCACTAAGCATACTACGGGGCCATGTGTAGAAGTACACGCAAATGAGGAAAGTTCTTGATTGGGAGTGGCGAGAAACGATTCATATGGTTCAAGCAGCTCACGAGTTCCGGTCTTAGACCACGTATCCCCTGGGTAACCAACAAACATGCGATTAAGCGTAGGGCTTATGACCCACCACATGAAAAACCAAATACCATGAAAACTAGAATATGCCTCGGATGAGCGAACCCTCTATTGATGACGACTCCCGCATATGTTTTAAGGATTACGATTTTAGGGCAAGCACCTGGAATGTCCGGTCCCAACTGGTTGCTGGATCATAAAATTAAACGCTGAAGAAGTGCGATGGAAGAAACATGGACGGAAGAAGATGAGTTCTTGTGATATTGTGACAGTGGCCATATAAAGGAGCGCAAACTTGGTGTCGTGAGAGACAGACTCCGTCGGCGAGTATTGGCATTCACACCGGTGGATGAACGACTCGCCATAAACCGCATCAAAAAGAAACATATCCTTGATTTGCAACCACTTTCCGACGCACGGGAAGGAAGATTTGACAAATGAGCCTTTTACGTGCGCCTCGAGAACACTTCTGAGCGCTACTACAACGCCAAAATTGTGCTTGGCGACTTCAACGCCAGGCTGGGCAATGAAGGTATTGTTGGAACAACAGTCGGAAAATTCAGCCTACACGACGAAACATCTTTAAAAATACGCTAATAACACAAGATTTCAACCCAAAAAAAGCACAAGCTACTTGGGTGTCTGCAGATCGGAAAACTGCATTACTATCGTTTATTTTCAAAATTGATATAGTTCGCTGATATGGAACCCCGATTATCAAGTTCATTCCGATAAGCTAAGAGTCTATTCTAAAACATTCAGTCATCTCCGATGGAACTCTACAATAAATCTTCCTCTCCATACCAACCGTTTAAAGTTTCTAAATCTACCTACTCTCGCAAGACATAGAGAAATGTCAGACGCATTGTTCGCAGTGAAAAAAAAACTATTCTTACTTCTCTGAACAATTAAGTTTTAAAATTCCAAATTACTAAATTCGAACTGTTGAATAATTATTCTTTCTGTAACTAAACCGTTTTAAATCTCCACGCTTAACAAACGATCCCACAGTCTGCGCCAATTACCGTGGGATAAGCCTCCTTAATATCGCATATAAGGTCCTTTCGAGCGTTTTGTGTGAAAGACTAAAGCCCACTGTCAATAAACTGATTGGACCTTATCAGTGTATCTTTAGACCTGATAAATCAACCATTGACCAGATACGTTTAATCTTCGAAAAGACCCGTGAAAAGGCGATCGACACCCACCACTTCTTCCTCGATTTTGAAGCCGACTTCGACAGCACGAAAAGGAGCAGCCTCTACGCCACTATGTCTGAATTTTATATCCCATCAAAACTTATACGGCTGTGTAAACTGAGCCTGTACGTTCGATACCAAATGACGTTTTAGACAAGGTGCCTCTTCGTCGTGTGATTTCTTCAATTTGGTGCTGGAGAAAATCCTACGAGCGACACAGCTCTCACGTCACTGTTGACAGTCATAACTTCGAAGTCGTAGATAATTTCGTCTATCTAGGAACCAGCATTAATACCAATAAGATCCTCAGTCTTGAAATCCAACGCAGTATCACCCTTACCAATACGTGCTACTTTGGACTGAGTAGACAATTGAAAAGTAAAATTCTCTGCCTACGATTGAAAACCAAACTCTACAAGTCCCTCAACATACCTGTGCTACTATATGCCGCAGATACGTGGACGATGTCAACAGCTGATGAGGCGGCTTTGGGAGTCTTCGAGAGAAAAATTTGCGAACGATTTATGGTGCTATGCGCGTTGGCAACAGCGGACGATGGAACGATGAGCTGTACGAGTTATACAGCGACATTGATATAGTTCAGCGAATCAAGAAGTAGCGGCTACGCTGGCTAGGTCGCGTATTCCGAATGCATGAAAGCACTACAGCTTTGAAAGTATTCGATGCAATACTCGCTGGTGGAAGCAGAGGAAGAGGAAGAGGAGGAGCTCTACGCCGATGTAAAGATCAGGTGGATAGTGATCTGGCCTCACTTGTTATTCCCAACTGGCGCCAAACAACGCAATAGCGGGATGAATTGCGCGCTATAATTAATTAGGCCAAAGCCCATAAAGAAGAAGAAGAAGCTTAACAATCGCTTCCCACGGATGTGGCCTCTCGTGTCGTGTCCGTTGTGCGGGTGGAGGGTATTTGTTGGGCTTATTATTATTATGTATTTATAAAAACAATATTAAATTATTGGTTAAATGTTGAAAATTTTAGTTTTACATAATCGTTGAATCAAACGACTGACCGTCGGCAACTTTTGGTCGTTTTGATTTATAATGACCGTTAAAATATTTAAACAGCTTTAGGCAATAAGCTGAAAGAGCGGAGTTTTTGCTCAATTTAAGTAATATGCACATATGTACACACATAGTTGAACTTTTTTAAATTTTAAGTTTTTATGTTTTATTTTTAAATTTTTTTTTTTTATTTTTATGCCAAAACTATAAGCCATATTTCCGTGATTACATCGATTGTCATGGTTGGAATAAATTTCCCATTTACTCATTAATGTTTCATATTGCTGCG